GGAATGCCTGTAAGGGTCTAGTGCTTTGTAGATCTCAGCAGGAATGCCATCCTCCCTGTTTATGAAGATTCTCAGTCATCCAGGTGTAATTGTCTGGAGGTTGAGTCATGGCAACTGGACTTCTTTTCTTTTTGGTAGAGACGTTTCACTACTTGTCCAAGCAGAAGACTGAAGAAGCTGCTTGGAGAAGTAGCGAAACGTCTCTACCAAAGAGAAAAGAAGTCCAGTTGCCATGGCTCAACCTCCAGACGATCCTGCCCTGTTGCTTTATTTGCGTTCATCTGTGAGATTGATTTCTTGATCTCATCAGTAGAGGGAGGCTGGTCTAGGGCATTCAAGACTGGCAGCTGAGGAATCTGCTATAAGACATCAGGATCAACTGTGTACGGCCTATTGGGTAGGTTGGAAAAGTGTTCAGGCCAGCTTTTTTTCAGTCCTTCCTGGTCTTTGATCAGGGTTGACCCATCAGATGACAGCAAGGGGGAGCATCCTGATTTAGAAGGACCATAAATTGACTTTATGGCCCTGAAGAACTCTCTGGTGGCATGCATGTCTGCATGGCAGTCCACCTGCTCAGCCTTTCTCTGCCTCCACTCGTCCTGCATTTCTCGCAGTTCCATCTGTACTTTGGACTGCAGGTGTTATCTTTCTTTGAGCCAGATGATGGACTGTTCTCATAGTCTGCATAGGCCTTGTTCTTGGCCTGGAGGGCTGCAGAAATGGTCTTGTGGTTTTCATCAAACTAACTTTGATGCACTCGGGTTTTCAGTCCAAGTACCATTGTTGCAGTCTGTGTGATGACATCTTTAAACTGCATCCACTTTTCAGAACAGGTTCCCTCAAATCGTAAATTGCTGGAGGGTTTTTAATTAAGTACATCTTGAAAACATTAGACTTGGCTCGGGTTTTGTAGTCTGCCAATGTTGAATGACATTTTGACAATCCTTGGTTGCTTATAATGTGAAGGGGCTATGTGTAGGTTGAGGACCGACTGAACCAGCCTATGATCTGTCCAGCACTCAGCACCTTGCATGGCCCAAGTGATGGTGATGTCTTTAAGGTTGCACTGACACACTATGACATAGTCAAGTAGGTGCCAGTGTTTGGACTTGGGATGCATCCAGGTTGTTTTGTACTTGTTTGCAAGTCTGAACATCGTGTTAGTGATGCTCAGGTTGTGCTCAGCACACTTGTTCAGAAACAGCAGATGGTTACTGTTTAGTTTTCCCACTCCATGCCTCCTAAGGACTCTGTCTCAGTTGTCACTGTCCTCAGAATAACATGTTTGTCGCTGGTGGGGGTTGTTCAAATAATCTGGTCCAGGTCCTCGTAAAAACCTTCCTTGTCTTCGTCTGGATTCGTGAGAGTTGGTGCATAGGCACTGGCAATGGTGATACACCGGTACTTGCTGAGAGGAAAGTGGAACTTCATAATAGGTTCATTTGTTCCAGTAGGTAGAGTAGAGATGTTCTTCAGCAGAGCAGTTATGATAGCAAAGCCTACTTCGTGAGTCCTGTCATCAGTCTGTGATTTTCCTTTCCAAAAGAGCATATATTCACTTGTTGCTTCCTGTAATGAACCCTCGCCTGCCAGCCTGGTCTCACTGAGTGCAGCAATGTCAATGTGATAACAGTGAAGTTTGGCCGCTATGAGTGTGGTTCGTCTTTCAGGCCTTGACACTTCTCTCTATCCAGCAGACGTTCCATGCTCTGAAGATGAGTTTTCTTTGATTTGTTTTTCTTGGTACTTAACCACTAAGGAGATCATCTGCCAGCCACGGTTAGCTAGCCAGATGTTGTGGGGTCGGCAATGCTTAAGATACCTTTTCTAACCCCCTCCCTCATGGAAGGGTGGGCAGTGCTATCCTAAAAAGGGCTGCCGGACATCTCTGCTCCCCCGGGTACTGAGACAAATGACCACTGGTCCAAAGGTCACCCACGTGCAGATTTATGATTGCAAGTGCCAGTGATCATCTCCACCTGTTTTGCCACTCCCCCATTGCCAGGGGACTCAACAAATTAGAATTGGACTCAGATGAATTGCAGATGGGTTGTAGATGAAGATGAATTGCACAGCAGAAACCTGTGCGTGATGGAGTTTTAAGTGGAGCAGCCATTGCACGGGGCAGTCCCACTCTCTCAGTAGAAGAGACTTTAATCCAGTGGCATGGACAACCGTTACGGCTGGAGACTCACCTGCTGCTGTGGATGACCAGGACATCTAAGTGTCTTGTCGTGTTCTTAGCATTCCACAACGCCTGCTGGGCCTGCCTTCCTGACTGTTGGAAGCAAGACTGATATTATCCCTGCAAGGTAGTCCAGACAAGAAGCACAATCAGGAGCACTAGCTGTATCTTTATTGTAAGGTTGCATTAACAGAAGCTTGCAAGACTGAAAGTATTTCTCCCTCCTTCCCTTTCGCTCTCTAAAAAAGTAGAGGGGGTCCCTTCTGGAACGTCTCCCACGCCCTCCCTCCTTCTGTGGGCTGAGACATCTTTCACTGGCTGTTTTTTCATCAGTACGTGTCATATGAGTGAATATTGTCAGTGGGCAGCAGCAGACAGATAACATTTATGTTTTAATATAGGAAATGATAAAAACTTATCCTTTATCATCTAATAATTGAGTTAAAAAAATCCCAGCAGCCACCCAAAACTTTCCTATAAATTCATCATAATCCAGCTTTAAACCCCATAGCTTTAATCTAGCATGAAAAAAAAGGTTCAAGATGCAATTTTCCATATATATACCATATATGTCTATATTTTTAACCTAAAACAGTCTAATTAGTTGGGTCTATGTGAATATTCCAAAAGGGCCCAGGAAGGAAAACGTATCCTAAGCGAAGCCACCCACAATTTGGTACTAGTAAAATAGATAAATGGGTATGAATATACTTCAAGGCCTGGGGTACCACAGCCAGCATCGTAGCATCTGTCTGAATGAAGCTGCAGGGGAAGGGAGCATTTTATAGTGGATCTACTCTGGACTTTTGAGCCAGCCTATTTTTATTTTAGCAAGCAGGGTTCTTTATATCCTATTTACAAAGTAGAATGACAACATATTGTGTAGTAACTTGCTGAAAAACCTCTTTTGAACGTGAGGTTCCATTTAGCAGCATCTGCTTTCCCCAGCACAGCTCTGTGATATTTTTTTTGGGGGGGGGGCTGATGGGGAGAGGGAAAGGGCACAGAAAAGCACATTGCTGAAAACTTCCTCCTCTTCATAGCTCCCGCTTTGGAAGATGAGGCGGGACACCACAGCCTTGGCCATTCCCCAGGTTGGTCTTCTCTGGGGGCCTCCGGACACTGAGAAGCCAGGCAAGGGGGCCCCCTGCGGGGAGCGGGCCAGGGACATCAAGGAGAGAAGGTGGGCTTCTGGAACTGACATGAGGGTCCTGTGTGCAGGAAGGCAAAAGGCCACAGGCCAAGCCCACCCAGAACAATGACAGCATCAGTTGCTGTGGTCGGCCCCTTGCAGTTCAGCTGGGGGACCGAATCTGCCACACTGGCTGTTGCTAGGAGACAGATGGGAAAACATGACCCCCTTGTTCTAGTTCTGCTCCTTGTTGTCCCAAAAGGTGCCAGAAGGTGGTGCTGCAAGGCTGTTGGCTCTGTGGAGACTGCCCTGTGTGCCCCCCCACGTGTGAACAAAGCTGGGAGCATAGAAACATGGGATTGGAAGGGCCACTGAGGCTGTGCTATCCTTACAGTAGCACAGCTGAGGCTGTGGTTGACCAGGAAGCCTCCAGTGCGTTGGAGTGTTGCAGGGTAGGGGAACGTGGAACCTGGGGGGCCCTGATGATCCGCCTGATGTCCTAATTAACTATTTCACCACACTGGTGTAGCAAGTCTGGTTGTTGTTTTTTTAAAGGTTGAGAAGTAACAATCAGACCTTTTCTCCCTGAGGATCTGAGTAAGCTAAAATTCCTGTTTTGAAACAAAAGTCTATTGAAATTATTCTCTGGCACCTGACAGTTCTGCTCCATTGTCCAACATAAATCATGCATGGTTCCTGCAGATGACTGTTTGAGATTGTCTCAGTTCATTCTTGACTCTGCTTTTTCACTGCTTTCCATATAGCTAGGTTGGAAAAGATATTTCTCCAAGTTTGAGTGCACCTTTCAGGGCCCATACTTTGTGTGTATTTTCCAACCATTAATGCTTGTGAAGAAGCATTAGAGGAAATGAAGCAGGTTTTTTAATCTTTAGGTATGTGATTCAGCTCATAGAATTCTTGGCAATAGTGAGGATTTCTGGGACTTGAAGTCTACACATCTGAGGAATGCCCAGGTTTGGAAGACTGTGGTGGAAAATTAGAGAGGTCCAAAAAGCGAGAAGCAGCTCTAGGAAAACTTTTCAGATTCAGATCCTTGGGAGCTGGGCCTTGCCTTAAATGGGGCTGAAAAGGGTAGTAAATGTAAGGGGCTGATTGACACACCAGCAGCCCTTTCTCCTCGGGCTGTTTGCAGACCTGGCCTTGGGATTGTATTTCTCCTACCTCCTTTGCATCTGACAGTCTATCAAGACCCTTTAGGAGACAATCTGGTGATGGATTTTGTAGGTTAGTATTGAGTGACTTACCAAGATGTTTCATCTTCCCAGGAGAGTTCCATTTCCAACTTCTCATGGGACTGTTAGACATTCAGCTGAGCTTTTAAAAACTATTGGAAGTAGGTTTGTTGTGACAACTGAATAATTGTCTCTTTCTCTGCCAGCCTCTCTGAGATATTGTATTGTGCAGGATTGTCCCTGTCCCAACAATAGGAAGCTCATGGCTCAATTGTTGCAGGAACTCTAGTTCAAAGACATTTTACCATATTTTTCCTCTGCCTGGGACCTACAGGAGGACCAGACTCCTAAGGCTCAGGAAAGGGAATGAGTAGCCCTCATTAGCAAGGACCTGCAGATTCCACTATTGTCTGCAGAACGGGTGGAGTCTCCTGTTGGCCAACCACCCCACCCCTCTTCTTTAGATAACCTCCTTTTGCTTTCCTTCCAGGAGCCAAGAGCATGGGGTGCTCTCCATCTACCCCAACAATGAATTCCTACTTCTATCAGTTCATGATCAACTTGCTCAAGAGGTTCAGCAGTGAGAGGAAGCTGCTAGAGACCCGGGGAGCTTTCATCATCAGGTCAGCCCAAACCACATCTTCTCTTGCCTCTGAGTGGTTTTTCCTTCATGTGTCACTGCTGTTGGAGTCTCCTGCAAGCTCCATGATAGGCTCTGGGCCAGGAGTGGTCCTCTTCTGGAGCTGGTGCCAGCAAGAACAGCTTCTAGCTTCCTGACCATCAAGTTAGCAGCAGCATAGTTCAGGTTCTCAAGGGAAGGAAAAATCTGCCAGCACCTGCTAAAGAGTCTAAAATTACATGCCTGTTGTTTGGGAAATGCTCTTCGACAGCTGACAGACTATTCTGAAATCTGGAATCATCCTGAGATAAATTCCTCTGGGTTTTTACAAAAATAATTGCCTCCAGGCCCTGTTTTCAAGCCCATCACAAACACTAGAGAGACACGTCATTCTTTGTCAATTATTGGAATGTGGGACTAACCTCGTCCTAAATTAGATTGGGGCTGGGACTCCCTCCTGGGCAAGGCGTCTGGCTGCAGGGATCACCTACTAAGGGAGGAGAGGGGAAAGAACAGCTGCACTGCCAGCAAAGTTGATTTGGGCCAGTGTGGGTACTAGTTGCCTGTGCTGTCATGTGTAGCCTTGGAAAGTCTGACCTATAAGCCTGGGATAGGCAATTTGTAGGACTGGGGACACATCTGGAATTTTGAGACTCAGTGGCGATGCAGTCACAAAATGGTTGCCACGGGAGACTTGCCATTTGATAGAATGGTAGTAGCCACAATGGGCATGGCCACTCATAAAATCCCCATTTGCCAGCTTGTTAACTAGTTCCATGGTTATTCTCTAGCATTCTGATGCAAATATCCTGATGGCTTGCAACATGCCAGCTTCCTATTTATTGCTTTTTTCATGTTTTTTTAAAGTAAATATCAGGTGGGCAGAGTTCCTTTTGGCCAAGAAAGGGAATATCTTGGGGAAATAGGCAATTTGTTGTCTGTTCCTACCGTTGTGTTCCAAGGTTGAAACAGTTGCTCCCTAACTCTGCCCTACATCTTGGGGAAGGGGTGTGTGAAAGCCCAAACTTCCCAATATTTCAAAACCAGCTTTTCAGAGGAATTGCAAGATGGGACCCCTCTAAGGTCCTTGGAAGGGGCTGCAGGAAAGCCTTGCTGCAGCTCCACAGAATCTTCCTGTGATGTTGCCTCAGCACATTTCCTTTATGTTCTCTTTTTAGAGAGGAAGGAGGCAGAACGATGGGCTTTCAGGGACCCACATTTACATTTTTCTGTTGGGTGGGATTCACAAGATTACCCATGGCCGGGGGGGCACTAGCCCAGTTCCTCTGTGGGTGTTCTCCTTGAAAGCTTGTGTCTGAGAGTGAATTCGTTGCCTCCCAGGTTTTTGGCTGGGTCTAGCTTGGGTCAAAAAAATGCTTAATTAATGGCCACTTTAGTTCTCAGTGGGAGACCCCGAGTTTCTTAAAATGAAATGGGTGTAGTTTGTGTGCTACAGATTCGCTTCTTGTCAGTCCTGGGGGAATGGCTGAATACGGGAGCTTTGTGGGTTGGTTCAGTAGCGCAGGGACAGAAGCTGGGTACGCAGCCCGCTCCAAGAGACGGTTCCCCACCTTCTTTGCTCCAAAACAGGCTGGAGCCTGTTAGTCACAAGAAGCAAGTGGCAGGGTGGGGCTGGGGGATGGCAGCAGCCCCGTCTGGCTCTCAGCTGAGGCCTTGTGGGACAGGCTGTCTTGGAGTCTTGGTCCCTTCCAGAAGAGAGGTGGTCAGCTGGGCCAGTCCTCCACCCCTCTCACCTCTACCAGTGGCCTCTGGGAGTGAGCCCTCGTGTATGGAGAGTCCCTTATCTCTGGGGGCCAAAATCTGGGTTCTATTTCTGCAGATCTCCAGCTCAAGGGCCTTCTGACTGGCTGGCTGGGCCAGCTCAGAACTTGTTAGCCTTGCTGGGCAGCTGGTGGCCCTGATCCTGTTGGGTCGGAGCTGTGACAAAATAGGTGTCAGCAATGTTGCATCACCAGGTCTTTTGACAATCACTTGCTTTAGCTGTTTGAAAGTCGAGAATCAGCCCTTTTGGTCTGCTGGTTTGTGCTTTCGGGAACTCTTCCTGCAAGGTCTCTGGCACTGCCTTGGGTGCTTAGGTCAAAGAGCAGCGAAAATATTGGATCTAACATGATGTGCCCATCTTTCAGTGGAGGGCAGAACCTAGCTCTTGACTTCTTGACTTGGAGGGCAGCTCAGCTGGGACCACACTATGCTCAGCAGGGCAAAATGAGGTAGCAACGTTTGGTGGTGAGAATGTTGGCTTTGGGCTCTAGGCCTTGGGCTGTGCAAAGAGAGCCTGCCTTCCACCCTTCCTGATGGGCAGACCAGGAGCCTTCTACTGGGAGAAAAGAAGGGGCTGAGGCAGCTTTTCTGGCCAGATTGTTTCTGGCTCTGAGGACTAATCAGAGGGAGACAGAAGCTGAGATGGTGATGGTTCTCCGCTGGTCTTCTCCTGCCAGAGCAGTCTTTATGTCTTTTTAAAATTGCTTGTTGTGTCTGCATCAGGAATTCAGATCTTAAACAACAAATAAAATTTTGATCATCTTGAGTCATTGATCAGACTTCCTGTTGCTTGAGTTAAAAGCTATTTCATATGCAGAAAGTGTATACATATCTTCCATCCAGGGCTTTAAATACGGTGCACTAAAGTCTTTCTTAGGGAGTAAAACCATTTTCTTGGCTGCAGCACACATATGATAAATTAAATCCGTCTCTTTTCTCTCTTACGTAGCACTCTTATCTTTAGTTTTGACTTCAAGATTTAAAACCCAGGTGATTCTCTAGCCCCTGATGCATTTGAACAGCGAGTTCCAAATTATTGCTAGATGTGACCAATGAAATTCCCAAGCTGGTCTCTCCTCCCTTATTGCTCATTTGGTTCATTCACTTAACAGAAGAGCTATGGATATGCTTGACAGTTCCCTGAGGCCCTGGCCCATTTGGCCTGTGGGTTGATGACCACCTGGCTCTTACGGTGCCAGAGCTAAGATGTACATTTATTTTTAATTGCTGTGAACAAGAACATGCCTTCTCCTGAGGGTTTGCCCTTGTAAGTGTGTCTCAAGTATGAATGGCTATACTTGTTTATCTTGGTCAGCTTAAACCCACCCAGATTCTTATGGCTGAGAATTACTCACCAATATTTGTATTGGTTTCAGAACCCGCCCAGAGTCCCCTATTGTAGGGGAGATGGGCGGGAGAGAAATCCAATAAATAAACCAACCAACAAACAAACTCCTTCCCCTACTAGTCTTCCTTTTCCTCATGTCCCTTTCTATATCATTTGCTCAAATACATCACATCTGTCTTCCTCAGCTGGCTTCTCACCACTAACTGTAACAGCCAAGGTCTCAAATGGCCCCATGAGAGTTGGCTGGAAGCATTATCTTATCAAACTGGGAAGGGCTCTCAGTCATATCCCTGTCCAGGGTTAGGTGTTATTCCCTTAAAGACTTGCAGTTTTACTTGCTAAAAAGTTATCTTTGACTCATGTGCTTCTTAATAGAGATTGCTGGGTGGAATCAACCCAGTCTTTGTGTCTGGATCTGCTTGGGTGGACCCTGTAGCCCCTGAGTTGGGGAGTAGTCTGGAGGAGATGAAGCCTATTAATTTGGTAGTCTTACCTATGGTTTCATTTACATATTTGTTATCCAGTAGGTCAGAGTCATTTGGCCAGTGCCAAAAAATCACAGCCTCAGGATTTGGACTGAAATTAATCTATTATTAATGCACAATGCCTGAATTTTTTTTAATTTTATACCCAGCATCTGATAGAGAAAGCAGTATGTGATTAGCTAGACATAGATATCTTCTGTGGAGTCCTTGGGGTTCTCTGATCTTGGTTCTTTTCTTGCAAATGTTTCATTACCCAGCTAGGTAACATCTTCAGTGCTTAATAATATTAATTAAGTTAATGTTAATAGAGATTAACAGCATCTACATACTATTCAAAAGAGACAAAAGACCAGAAGATCGCCTCA